TCTACAAAAATATTGGTGGTGTGCATGTCTTAGGCAATTCCATTTATTACAACCTTCATAAGCAAACAAACCTAGCCTACTTGAGAAACACTGTTTTGTTGATTCCTTCTCTCCTGTCAATGTTTAGGTTCCAAAATGAGCAAGTGGCCTTAATATGCAAAACTGGGAAAAATACATGGGATCGGTATGAGAATTTAGCATTGCACAAGCACTGATTGTTTAGCATGAAGTCCTGTTGCCTGCTTTCAGTGTGCTGATGTTTGCATTCGCTGCATGGGCTCCAGCCCACACTTACTAAGCAAGGATTAGAAGCATGACTTTCTCTCTTCCTTCCCTTTCATCAAATCCATCCATAAGCTCTTGCTGTAGCTAATCCATCTAGCTTTCTGTGTCCTTTTCCTGCAAGTGCAGAAACAGAGGTCTAGAATATTAATCTCATCAAAGGACCACCTCATGTGGTACTTATTATATGATGCATGCTGGGAATGTATGATGTAGTGCTTAAAAACATGTTTTTATAAGCAGATCTGATTCAGCACATGCTGCAGAAAACTCCAGTTGGGCACACCTCCCCATGGCATGAGGGGAGAATGTGGGGACCTGCAAGTATTTTCTAAAATCAGCAAATAGCTCAAAAGGCATTAAATACTTGGTAAAGGCCAACCCCATCTCTAGAAGTAATTGGCCAGTCTCAAATTTATATAGAAATCCAATGTGGTGATCAAGGAATTCTTCCAGTGTATGCTAAGCTCCGTAGATAAAAGATTATGTCTCTTAAGGTGTAATGAAGAAGTACAAATTCTAACCAGTCTGATTTCTGCAGTGATACATTCCAGGTTGTCAGGGACCACCCTCATGAGGTGTAGGATGTAGTTGGGTGGGCCAAGAATGGACTGAAATTGAGTATGAACATCCATCAAGTTTCTCCCTGCAATTTGCACACAATATCCAACCCTAACTCTCCAGCCTTCCACAGGAACTTTTAAAAGGGGGGACAACTTTAAGGGAGAGGAAGAATTGGGAAGTTTGCCTTCCCTAAACTTGGTTAACAGCCCAGTGATGGTATTTACATCTACACAGAAGTAAACCTTGTGGAGTTTGATGGAATTTATTCCCAGATAAGAGGTATTCAGAATTGCCAAGTAGCTTAACACACTGTAGGAAAGGGGCAAGCAGTGCACAGACACCTCCCCCCAGCCAGATTTTTGCTGCTTCCAGAGAACTCCCAGATTTCACTGCTGAAATACTACGGCAAAATTGCTGGGTTTTGGTGGCCCTATTTTTCACACGGGACCACCAGCCACAATCCTTGTAGTTGTTGGAGGCGGGGGGGAAAAAGTTGGAAAGGGCAGTCCTACCCCAACAGCAAAAAAAAAAAAAGCCCCCCTTCCCCCCACCCAATCTTAGAAGTGCTTTCCAGGAGGACTCCTATTTAAAGAAGAGTTGTTTTTGGCGTTCATGTAGTAGTTTGGATTCAAATTCTGGCAGTTTTAGTAGTCTAAATTAATTAATTAGAATGATTTCCTCATAGGCATAGACTTAGCTCAATGTCCATTCTTTCTTGGCTTTGACTTCAGATGCTGCTTTCAAATAGATTTCTCTGCATCTGGAGGATGCAGACAATGTCAAAAATACTTTGCTGACCCAGTAATCATCTTTCTTGTATTCTACATAATGAGCTTCTATTTAGCTCTGGCAGAATGAAGCTCACGAGGAGGAGGGCAAAATGAGAAGGTTTTTTATTGGTTTCCTGGTGCCTTAGGCTCTTGGCATCACTCTCCCTGTGCCCGAGGACACTTTGAAAAGCACTTTGTAAATGTGTTTCAGAACCATTCCCTTTCTTCCCATCTGACATGCTCAAGGTAGTGAATAACGTCGGTAGAAATAAAGGTGCAAGGTAAAAGCTTCCCTGAGGGAAGATTGAATTTCAGTGACTCCATGGATATGTTCTTTCTTCATTTGGGTTTAGTTTTTTATCTTTGCAACAATAAGGGGGGAAAAGCCATCGTCTCCTCTTGGGATGTTGTTTTTTCAGTTTCCCAGCCCAGCCATTCTTCTTGCTCTTCCGTGGGACTTCCTGGTGGAAGCCTCTTATTTCTCCCACCCCAAAATTGACTAGGTCTGACCCTGTTTAGTTTTCTTTAAGGTCAGCTAGGTGCTGCCACCTGCTCTGATAATAATTGTTATTAAAATTAATATACAATTACTAGTTATTATTTTTTAACCTTTGAAATAATTTACCAGTGTCACCTACCTTGGAGGTTCCTTGTGGTCTCCCATACTCCTATATGACCTTCTTAGCTTTTTCAAGACCAGACAAGATTGTTTACAATGGGAACTGCTGAAAATGTAATTTAAGAATCATGGAATGAGGTTTTCTGGGAAGAGATGGAACAATCTTGGCTAGGAAGCCATGATCTCACCAATCATTTGTTTCTTGGCCCAAAGAAAACACCAAAGTTTGTAACTTTTGCATGCTGCATATCTAAGTTATGGGGTCCAGTATGCTCAATGATTTATTCAGTACTCATCTTGAAGGAGTTCCATCCACTTAAGCAGGCTATTTCAGTTAAAATAGCTTATGACCCGAGGTCCTCCTCTGATCACATTTGCATAAATCAGTAGCATTTTTCATGATGGAAGGAATCAGAATTGGCTCTCAGTCTTTCTGAAGCTCAGTACAATTAGAAAACAAGGCAATAAGCCTTTTTTCAACTACCCAATATTGATTGAAATGAAGGATCCGTTCCTGTTTTAAAATAGCAAGAAATTCTGAAGCCAATAATACCACATCCTGTTAAAAACATAAGGTCCATGGTCTATTTTGCATTGCATAGATTACATCCTATAGCTTTATAACTAACCAGCAACCTGCACATCTTACACCTGCAATTGTCTGTTAATTGTCTTTTCTGCAGAAGTAGCCATGTCTGAATATACATATTTTTTTCCAGAACTGACTGAAAGCCAAGATTCCTTTGCATTGTGTTTGTCTTGCTTAGTCTCCTTGGCGTTCTTGTCAGCCGTGTGAGTCTTTTGCTACTGGCTTTCTGTAGTTGCTGTAGTTCTTGCTCTGGTGCCACCTGTGGCCATCCCACAATTATATACAAAATGAAAAATGACACTTTTTTTCTACAGGTTAACAAGTAAACCACCACCAAGCATACCCCCCATTGATTACGTTCCAGGTATGGACTTGACACTATTCACACTATTATTAGGTCTTAGAATTGATGCAGTCATGTAAATCATGGGTTTAGGATTCAAGACGCGTGTGTGTGTGCATGCAAGCATCCCATCAGTTAGTGTGGAAGACACTCCCTCGTTTTTCCTGAGTTGTGCCTGTCAGCTGAGCTACGTGACTGGAATGTGTAAATGTTTTCTCAGTGATATGGGAGTTACACAAAAGAATTATTTCCCACTTGCTAAGGTAAAGTCTCTCAGTGAATACAGAATATGCTACCTAGTAAGAATGTCTTCAGTCCATACTTATCCTAAATGTCCTGTTGGTCATACATATCCTACAGCACCACAAAGAAAGCAGGGTAACTTTCTCCACTTTTAGAAACTAGAGTAAACCACAGAAAGTTGCATCAGCTTGAAATTCATGTCCTAACAAGCAGATAATTACCTGCAATATTTGTTTAGCTACATCTTGGAGGACTACTTCAAAGCACCATTGGTGAAGCTCAGCAGAAAAGCCTACTCTGCATAGGGAGTGATTAAAGGAAGATCCACTTTGAAGATCCTTTATAATGAAATTCTGTCTCAGTCCTAGTTTTCCTAGGTAACACGCAAGATCCTGTCTCTAGGTTCTCATTTGTCCTACAGAACATTTTGCAGGTAACAAGAATATTTGCCCAGAGAACATCTCTGCTTGTCACTTGTGCTTGTAAGAACACTTGTTTTAGTTTCCCACACATTATTTGGTATTATTTGTACAACAGGAAATCAGGGTTGCAGATGAAGCGGCAGGCAGCCATTGTGACCACGGCTCACCCAACACACTTCCCTTTCTGAAGAACAAGGGCTTTATGGGCCTGGGACCATAAATAAATAATTTGACATTTTTGAAAGATGAAAGGACAAGTTGGTATCTTCTCATTCCATCTGGCCTAACAGTTTGATTTTTCTTCAAGAGTGACAGTGGGCAGCTTCCTTCCGCACATTGCAGAAGGAAGCCAACTACGTTTAGGGTAGGCCATGGAGTATATGCAGTTTTGTTCTTCAAATGGTAATTGGCTATGGCCAACATCTCTATAATCTAGCAATTGAAGTAGTGGGTGGGTGGGTGGATGGGTGCATGTGTGTATGCACGTGTGCCTTTGAGTCAGTGTTGACTCCTGGTGATTGCCTGGGCTAGTCCCTGCAGTTTTGTTTGCAAGATTTCAGAAGTGGTTTGCCCTTGCCTGCTTCCTAGGGCTGAGGGAGAGTGACTGGCCCAAGGTCACCCAGCTGGCTTCCTGCCTAAAGTGAGACTAGAACTCCAGGCTCCCAGATTCTAGCCTAATGCCTTAACTACTACACCAGACTAGCTATGGATGGATGGATGGATGGATGGATGGATGGATGGATGGATGGATGGATGGATGGAT